GGTTCCGCCCCCTGCGCCGGCCAAGGCGTAGCTGGCAAGCGGCAGAGACGGAGCAGGCCAACCACCAGCTGGCCCAGCTCAAGGGAGGTAAGGCACCCGCCGGAAAAGTGGGAAAAAATGGCGGTCAGCCTTGCTTGGCGACCCCCGTGAAATGGTCGATCGACCCCAAATGGGGTCGCGACCCATAGGTTGAGAACCGCTGCTCTATGTGAAGGCTGCATCTCACATAGGATGGGCACACCTGTCAGCAGCTGGAGAAAAATGGCAAAGGCTAGTGAGGTGCTTTGCATGCACTGGTGACTATATGGGAAATAAGGCTTCCCAAATCTCAGCAGCTTTGCCTGGGCTTGTGGGCCAGGTGAGCAGTGAGGCTTCCCTGGATGGCTGCAGCTCAGTGCCACATTGCAGCACACACACCCCAACTCATAACTTGCCTGGGCCTCCCAGAGCTTCCCTCACTCCTCTGAGGCACCCCACATTCCTTACCTGGGACTCTGCAGATTGATTAACAACTGCAACCGGGAATGCTAGCATCTCAGTCATTGAGCAAAACTATCATGCTTAATGACAGTTGTACTCAATGACCAAGATTCCAATTGGGGTCATAAGTCAAGGATTACCTGTATGGGGAATGCCAGAAGCTTCTATGTCCACAGATGCAGACCTGTTTTACTGTTGCTTTGCCAACAATCAAACATTTGATAAATGTTTGATTGATAGTTATGATAGTTATGGATGCAGAGCTAACAAGTAATTTTGTATCTCTCTTCTACTTTCTACTTTAGGCAAACTGCTTATATAACTACAGTAGTCTTTGACTTATGACTAGAACAGGGACCAGAAAATTCATCATTAAGTGATACACTCATTAAGTGAGGCAACACGTGAGTGCACCTGATTTTACAACCTTTTTTTGACCTTTTTATGACCGTGACTTGTGACCTTCCCTGCTGGCTTCCCCCTTGACTTTGCTTATCAGAGGTCAGCTGAGAAAGATGTAAATGGTGATCACATGATTGTGGGATGCCACCAAGTGTGAGCTAGTTACCAAGTGCCTGGACTGCAATCACATGACCAAGAGGACCAAGAGTTAAGTGCAGAGACCATTCGTAAATCACTTTTTTCAGCCCCGTTGCAATTTTAAATGATTATTAAATGAATGGTCATAAGTCAAAGATTGTCCTATACTGTAATAAAAACTGTAAAGGAGTTGGATGTAAATACATTTCATTTGTGTATTAAAGAAAAGAACTGTTAAAGTGCAAATGAGCTGATTTGATTAATTTGAAGATAATATTTAGGGATTTTGTATCAAAAACAAACAAAGTACCCAAAGCAAAAGTATTATGAATATTAGAGGGCCACATCAGGTACTTTTGGTTATTCATAGAATATTTTTCTAACATTTTTGTAATATATTTGCAAGCTTTCCTGCTCATTCTCTTCCATTTTCTACATCTAAAATACTTGATTATTCCAGGCAGCACAATACAATATAGCTCAAAAAGGACATGGAAAAATGCTAATAAATATGTATTTTTAAAAAGCCACAGATTTCTCTGATTTTTTCCAATCATACAAAATGGCAACAAAGATAGCATAGATTAAATATCAAAGTTTCGAGAAGCTTCAGAATTCACAATATAAGATAAATGTCTCAACTACTTTTTGAATGAATTATACCAAACTGACAGACTCAATCAAAATTCCACACAAAATCTGTACAGAGATCACAGAAAACTGCAAAATCTCCTTTAAGCCTAACCAAAGTAGAAGGTTCACACAAATATTCAATTTTTTTTAAATACTATGCTATGCCTACTCAAATCAATTATTTAAGACTATTAGTTTATAATTTTAAAAATATATTAAAATAGATATATGCATAAAATTAAAAAGGGATATGTTATTCTCCACGGTTATGAGTTATGCTTGATGGTATTGAAGTACTATTATGTATCTGGTTATTAAAATGATATAGACAAAATGATAAAATATTGTTTTCAAATGGATACTGAATGTAAAAAAGCAAAAGGAAACCAATGGCTAAACTGGCTAAATGAGATGGCTAAAATTCCCAGTATCACTATACCTCTTTTGACAAGGAACTCAAATATTTGGTAGCTGGTAGTGTATTTAACAAAGAGCGCAAAAAAAAAAATTGTAATGGCAATATTTCACATAGAAAGAACCCTATGACATACATTATCCAGGAGTTTTTAAATGTTTTTTTTTCTTAGTGTTTCATTTAAAATCTTAAGGAAAGCTGAGGAAAAAAGATAATGCATGAGAGGCATGGCAAACTCTAAAACACACATTTCCTACCAAACAAGTAAAACATTTGGTGAATTTTTCATTCAAACTTGCTTAACAAATGTTTTGCAGTTTTGTCTAGAATGCCCTTAAAATCACTTAGATTCCTGTATTATTTCATGATTTTTTCCTCCAATTCTTAGAATAAATTTCATAACGTGTGGCTATTCAGTGGCAGGTGAATAAAACCTGAATACCCATACAAAACTCATTGTTGCTCATAAACTTTTCCTTTTGTTTACTGGAGATCATACCAGTTTATAAAGAACAGAAGAATTTTCACATCTACTATACTGCCTTCGTTTTGCATTACTTATTTGGATACATAATACTAAGCATTAAGGCAAATTAAGAATATATTTCTCTGCCGCAACGGAATCACCAAGATGAAGAGTTACAAAAGATAGTCGGCCTATTTATGCTTATAATCTATACATTTTCTCTTAATTTAATTTCTCTTAATTTTCCTAAATTTGTTTTTGAGTTGGGAGTTGGATTGAGTTAGGACAATGTCATTTCTAACAAAATTCAGAAATATTTATATAATTTCACATAGTTTTGTAATTAAATATAAAGTGATTATAAGGCTTCCAAGCAACAAACAAGCAAGTCAAATACTGCAATTTTCCTGCTGTATAGATATTTTTATAGCATTGTATTCAAATATAGTATGTTACACTACTGAAGACTTATATGTGCAGGCCATAAATAATTAATAGTATTTCTGCTACTGAAGATTTTTAGTTACATAAATATATACAATGCCACTTGACATATTCCTACAATCTTTGCTAGATTGTATTATGTTGTTTATTCATAAAAATCCTCACAAATTATGGCCAGAAAATTTAATGAATATCTAACACATAGATTATTATAAGCTGCATTTGTATCATAGTAGTAAAGTAAAGATAGTAAAGTTATTAGAAATCTGGCACCAAATGCAAAGTTATTAGAATTTGCAGCAGTCTTTAGACAAGCATTAGATAAGATTGATATTATGATCATTTTTTCTCACTGATACCAATTTTCTCAGATTTGTACAGTCCACATTCATAGATTTTGAAATAGCATCTTTATTTGCTTACTACCATAATTAGAAACAATCAAACCTGCATTTTAGGAAAGGCAAGTTCTAGCCTACCTTGGTTGACCTGGACAGCAGGATCTTGTTAGTGTCAGGATTGGAAATTACCAAGAAATACCAAGTCTATCAGCTAGCCTGAGAAGCTGAAAAAATATACTGTATTGCTACCATGAAAACTGTGGATATATTCATGAAATTGCGAGGAGGTGGGCTCAGTCTGAGTAAGCTTTTATTTACATTTTGAAATATGCCAGAAACAGCAATGTTTATCTTTTATATGCCTTTTAAATAACGCTAATTGAATATTCATCATTAATAAATACATCCAAATATGTATTATTTTGACACACTACAATTTAATGTAGATTATAACTCTAATTTCCAGAGTTGTAATTCTCATATCATCATTCGACCTTTGCTATGTGGTTTATCAACTATTTCTAAAACTTCCTAGGCATGTATCAGAATTATATTTCATTATTCTGTGTAATATTATAATTCTAAATTAAACTTTGATGAAAGTTCACAAATTCTTTAGGAAATGTAAAGAAAGATGACAAATAATTCCATTATTATTATTATTTTCAATTCAGAAAGTCAGAAAACTACCCCCCCTTTGATGGACTAGTACAAACTAAGTGATTCACTGAGATAAAGAAAATGAGACACTGAGTTGTCTCCATCTCCATGTAAAATAGAGAAAATGTGGACCAATATTATTGCATCTTACATAATCTGACCTTTATTAATTATAATTCTTGTTTCTTATTAAATAGCTACAGTTAAAAGTACGTTTAGAAAAACAAGGACAAACTACACTACGTTTTATTACAAAGAGCATACTGTGAAAATGCATCAGCTCATCATCACAGTAATCTCACCAGAGTGTCATCGGACGTCAGGAAGGAAAAATGCTAACTTAGATCTCTTGGGATGCTTGCACAAACCTGTCTCATCTCTCCTACCCTATCCCGAGTAGCAGTCCTGAAAACTCTGCTCTAACCACCATGAAGTAGACCTGCATTCCTCAGGAAGAATAGTGGAAGGGCACAAAAAATTGCCGACAGCCCACTACCCATATCAACCAGAGGGAACAGTAATACTGCCCCTGAAAAAAAACCTGTAGATTGGGAGCAGTAAGGAAGAATTTCCACAGCATGAGATCCAACAATGGAAATCTTGCTGTCTCCTCTTCCCACCACCACCATGCAAAGAAACACTACAAACAGTTATTGCAGGGTTTCCTCTTGCTCCACAACAGGAGTAACAGTTAATCAGCTCAGTTTCTCAAGGTCTACAGACCCACAGGACACGGGGGACAGGCCAGTTTCAGATCAGTGTGGCCCTCATGAGTGAAAGAAGCCCTAATGTCAACATTTATGAATGACAAAAACAGCTGCCAACATTTGATAATATGCAGTCCATTTTAAGCTGCTTGGTTTTTTCACTGATTGGATATTGAATATATTGGATATATTCTGGTCCATTTCTTATATTTTCTGTTTCAACAGTATTATTACTTAACAATGCTTGGAGGCAATATCAATACCCTTTTTCTAGAATAAAACAGAATTTTTAACTTTTTTATTTAGCTGAAGTGATTTTCAATTAAAACTGGTTCTTTCCTCCTAAGAATTACCTTGCAAAACGACAGCTTGTTCAGGCTATATTCTGAATCACAAATACCACATTGGTTGAAAAGAAATAAACAATGTACTGCAAATTGCCACAGCAAGGAAAAGAGCAGTACAAAGCGAAGTGTAAAACTAGAGACCTTAGTCTTTTCATCAGGCTCAGCCCTTAGGTAGTTCAAGGAGATACTTGCAGAGAAGCAGAGTCATCAGATGTTTGTGTAGAATACCTCACATGTCTCACTGTTCACTTTGATGGCAGGTGGTTTCATGTGTAGTTTTTAGTTTCTTTGTGATTTTAAGTCTTTAAAGATGCATCATTCGGAATCGGATAAGTCACTTTAAACAAAGCAAAGCAAAAATATCACTATTTATAGGACAGTACTTTGTTACATTGCACTTTCACTGTCACCTATTATTTTAAAGTATCTTTTAAGTAACTGAAGGAATTTTAAACAAACAATGAAGAGCAGCCAACTGTACCAAGAACAAGGTAATAATAAAAAAGAACAATTCTAACGAATTTCTCATATTCGCACAAAATCAGAGCACTTTTCATCTCTATTGAGGAACAATATCAAAGTTAAAAAGAATTGCTGATCCATATCTGACACTAGGTCTACCTATTTGTATGACAGTTGTTGCTTTTTCTATGAAAAAGACAGATTGAAAAATAATGCGTACAGCAGAAGATAACCATTGGCATATATACGGTAGATGAGATTATTCTAAAATAAAGGTAATAACATTATCTTTCATTAAGTCTAAAAGCCAATTCAAACATTTAGCTTCGTTCTCTCTTTGAAACCGTTTATAAAGAGAAACTCCAATATAAGGAGTCGTTTTTTTAATAAATACACTTATATCTAAATTTGCTGTTCACGTGGTCCTCAACTTATGACCACAATTGAGCCAAAATTTATGTTGCTAAATGAGAAATTTGTTAAGTGAATTTTGCCCATTTTACGACTTTTCTTGCCATAGCTGTTAAGTGAATCACTGTAGTTGTTAAAATTAGTAACATGGTTAAGTGAATCTTGTTTTCCTATTGACTTTCAGAAGGTTGCAAAAGCTGATCACATGACCCCAGAACACTGCAAATGTCATAAATACGAGTCAGTTGTCAAGCATCCGAGGGTAAATCACATAACCATGGTGATGCTGCAATGGTCATAAGTGTGAAAAATGGTCATAAGTAACTTTTTTCAGTGCTGCTGTAACTTTGAACGGTCACTAAACAAACTGTTGTAAGTTGAGGTCTATCTGAATAATAGTAAAATTACACAAGTAACCATTCTGCATTATTGATATAAATATAATTTATAACCTAAAGAGTAAGTTTTCTATTCAACAGTTAGTATAGATGGGTAGGACAGTAGGCCGGGGGGGTGCCACAGAAGGGGACCGGTGAGGAGATGCAGGTGTCAATTCATGGGAGGCCTGGTAAGTGGGTGTGGGGTGTATGGGGCAGCTCCACCCCCACCCCAGCTTGATTTTTAGGCTTGCCCCTCACCCTAAAACTGGGGTAGGGCTTATATTAGGCCCACCCCCAAAAATCAAGGTAGGGCTTATTTTCAGTGTAGGTCTTACTTTTGGGAAAACGTGGTATATACTTTCCTCAATACAGTATTAGAAATTGTGTTCATTATTTCAGATTGCTTTATACTTTTGTAAATGAATAAGGGAACAATTCTCACGCATCATTTATTCCACATTATACAATATGTTATAAAGCAAAATAAAATAACTTTTGCATTATTTTCTTTCCAATACCAGAATCAATTTAGCAAACCCAGACAAGCTTGATTCATCAAATTAGCCTTTCTTATTACAAATGTCAAGTTCTATAAATGTGTTATTGTTCAAAAATATTAAAAAGTGACATGCTGCAACACAAAAATCAAATCTGATCATGTTATGTTAGCAGAAGTGAAACTTGATTAAGTGATAACAAAAGTGCCTTATTATTTCTGTAAGTCTCTATAGAAAGCTGAACAATTCATGGGACTAAGTACAGTAAGGGAAAAGGTTTGCTTACAAGGATCCATATCTGGTCTCATATTTAGAGACAATGTTCTTGCATTTTCCCATTTCCTTCCGTAGTTCTGCAACTTCGGTCCTCAAGGCTGTGTTCTCCTTCTCCAGAAAAGCAGCTCGGATTGTGATCTGATTCTCTTTTAGGCGCCGAGCATCCCGAGATCGCTTGGCTGCCACATTATTTTTCTTCCGCCTTGTCCAATATTTTTCATCCTATGTGGAAACAATCAGATTGACAGTTTAGTATTTAGCGGATATTTCATTGATTCTTGATCTATTATCTGATTTTTCTTATGACCAAACATGACTGGAATGCTTGTTTGCAAGCTACTGCCCACAGTCATTGTTAACCATGCTCCAGATTAGGCTACCACAATGAAGTGAAGAGGGCTACATATAGAGATTACTCAGAAATGTGGTCCAGAATATTATGATTTAACAGATAGTGGAAGCAATGGAGTAGGAACTGACTAAAGATATTACTGTTGACCAGAACTAGTCAGGCAAAAATACACCAATTTTTAAATTAAAATTTTAAATTTTCTGACTACCTTTCACCTAATGGCAGTTTTTGTTCATCTACATGAGAATTTTGGTATGGCATCACAGTGCTCTTAAAATCAATTTATAAATCAGATGAACTGAATTGATAAAAATCAGATTGTGCCATTATTTGATTTTTATCTCACCTTTATTACTTTATAAGTAAATCAAGGCAGCAAACATTTCCAATGTGCTTTCCTCCTCCTATTTTTCTCACACCAACAACCCAGTGAGGTGGATTGGGCTGAGAAAGAGAAAGACTGGCCCAAAGTCACCCAGATGGCTTTCATTCCTAAAATGGGATTAGAACTTACATCTCTGGTTTCCAAGCTAGCACTGTAACCACAACACCAAACTAGCTCTTGCCTTTTAATTCCATCAAGGATCTTTAGGAAGGGGAATTTAATTTCTAATTAATCTCTACTGCTGGTAAAATCTAGATATAACAAATTGAATACTGTCCTTAATTTGGGAAAGGAACAGTCACTTCCCTCAAAGAGGCTGGCTTTCATACCCATTAATTCAATAAAACTGGTTACATCTGCTTAGAATGGAAAGAAGAAAAGCAAAAGGAACAAGATGGACTTCTATGAATTTCTAAGGATGAAGTCCACATGTTTTTTCTTCATCTTCTCCACAATAAACATTCACTGAAACCCCGAAGCTTATTCAAGGAGGTAATACTCAGTGGAGAATCAGCTTGATGTAGTAATTAAGAATACTGGGTTAGAAACCGGGAGTCTGGTCCTGTCTTAGATATAAGCCCAACTAGGTGATCCTGGGTCACTCTGTCTCAGCCCATGTAGGTGCTAAGAGTCAAAATAGACTTGAAGGTAAGTAGGTAGGTAGGTAGGTAGGTAAGTAAATAAATAAATCTTAACTAGATTAACTAGGCTGACTGCATTGATTTTACTTGATGTGTGTGGGATTGTTGCCTTCCCTATATTTCCCTTTTCCCAATTCATTTTTATATCAACAGATTTGGCTTAATTAATATAAGGCAATTTTTCATTATAATCTTCCCTGTATACATTATACAGCTACATTTTGTGCTTCAGGTTGTATACAAGATTTGTAAATCTTCTATAGTTCTGGGAATGAAGATTTTTTTTATTTTTCCAGACCCATCTTCCCCTCCCCCACCCCCATTTTCTTAAAGCTGAACTGCAGGAGAAAATCCTAGATACAAAGGCAAATCATTCTTCAGAAGGATAGAGTAAGGGACAACTGGAAGTTCAGCCTGACTAGTTGCAGTTTATAATAATTATCTTTCACTGGGGAAGCCTTGGAAAATGTTTTAAATTATCCTCCTTCTGCAGCAATCTGAAACAAATGAAACAAAGTATCCTTTATTAAATCCTAACAATGTTATTAAATTATATTATGGGGACAAGTAAGAAGATGATAAACTGCCATTCCTCAAGAAACTTACACTAAATCCACCAAATTTTAGAACAAATAATCTGCTGATTAGAAAGACTCCATTGTTGTGGGAAACTCCAGTAGCACAGTTAAAAATGTACTTTGCAGCCAACAAACATGATTTCAAATACTTCTGAAATATGATCACTCATCTAAGCCAAGGCTTTTCAACCAGTGGTACGGGTACCACCTGTGGTACATTGGCACCTGGCAGGTGGTACGGGACCATCCTAGAAAAGTGGTAGCGGGGGAGGGGAATGAGCTGAACCGGTGGCAGCACCGCACAAGCCTGAGCGAAAGATGGCTGGAGCTGCAGGGCTGTCAGGGCTCAGTGGAAGCGCCAGGATCAGTGCCGCTTTCCAGCTGATCGGCGCTTCTTCGGGGCTGTCAGGGCTCAGTGGAAGCATCAGGATCAGCGCCAGGATCCAGCTGGAGCTCGGCGCTGATCATGATGCTTCCGCTGAGCCCAGAAGCGCCAGGATCAGCTGGAATGTTGCAGCCTCTCCAGGGTCTTGTGATTTACATTCAGATGCTTGGCAACTGGTTCGTATTTATAACGGTCACAGTGTCCCAGGGTCATGTGAAGTGACCAAAACCTGCTGCAACCACCCAGCAGACGGGGGGAATAAAAACCAAACACCCCCCCACCTCACCCCACCCCCGCTGCCAATCCTCAACAGAAATGCTCACAACAATGAAAACCTCGGACAGGAGGAAGAGCGCCGCCTTGCTCGGCTGTGGCTCGGGGGGCACTTTTTTCAGTGCCATTGTAACTTCGAATAGTCACTAAGCGAACTGTTGTAAGTCGAGGATTACCTGTACTTTATCACTTTTTTCCTTTTTTGGGGAGGGGGTTAAGTTTTTGACACCTTGCTAGGCGACTGGTGGTACTCGGATATTGCCATATCCTAAAAGTGGCACAATGGGTGAAAAGGTTGAAAAGCCCTGATCTAAGCAATAACAGAACAAACACAATTACCTTTTGATTTTCTGGGACAAAGACTTTCTTGGCTTTTTTAATCATAGGCTGTGGTTTCAAGTCCTCTTCAGCAAACTTATGCTTTCTAGGATTAAAGAGCTCTCCTCCAGGCACAGTGGACAGCACTAAATCAGCAGGGTCAGGGTTGAAATTCACATCAATCTCAACACAATCTGGATCAACAGGGCTGGGAGTCAATCTTTCATTATCTGAAGAGGACTCTGGAAAAAGGAAGATAAATTTAATAGTAAGCAGCATGAAGAAGATAACTATGAAAAAACAGAAACATTAAAAGGAGCCCTTTATTCATAAAAACATATTATGTAGTGCAATACCAGTACCTAAAACTTTAGAAAGAATAACAGATATACAATATTAATAATTTTATGATAACCAACAGAAAGGCAATTAAAAGGGAAATAATATCCATTTTTTCACTTTCATGTCCAAAACCTAACTATCCAATAAAGTATGCATCATACTTTACATCAAAGNGAGCCCTTTATTCATAAAAACATATTATGTAGTGCAATACCAGTACCTAAAACTTTAGAAAGAATAACAGATATACAATATTAATAATTTTATGATAACCAACAGAAAGGCAATTAAAAGGGAAATAATATCCATTTTTTCACTTTCATGTCCAAAACCTAACTATCCAATAAAGTATGCATCATACTTTACATCAAAGAAAGGGAAACAAACATATGTGGCTTTGTGACGAACTATATTCTAGCCATCTGAAAACATAATCAAAAATTACTGAAGGATATCTGCAGTTCTATCACAGTATTATGATAAGTTCATAAGCAAAATCCCAGAAATGTACAGTAATAAAAACTATTATTTTTACTGAAGAAAGGACACTCACATAAAAAGGATACGACACTAGAAAGTCCTGTATTTAGTCTTGCTTTAAGGAAGACAGTGGTATTAATTTTCAGAATTCTCATGTTCTCTATGTCCACTAAGAATATTGGGGGAAAGCAATTTTAAGTGGCTCTCCAAATAAATATGTGAAAATCTGATAAGAGTTAAGTTACCTGGCATAGAAAAACATTCCAGGAATTAAAACTAAGAATTAACATCTACATGGGACTATTCTCATACATATTCCCAAAGGTTTATCTTGCACCTTAGGAGCCTACACATTTGAGGTGCTTTTTTTTCTGGATGAAAGAGGAAAGTAATGGTCCTCCAATAGAAATTCTTCAGGAAAGAAAGAAAAAATAATAAAGATGAAACCAAAAAGGACCAAAAAAGGAGGGCCACAGAAACTATTAAGAACTCTGAATATTCACAAATGCACTACTATTCAATAAGTTTTATGTCTAGAAAACAAAAGTGATGAGGTGAGAATATTGTTTAATAAAGGCAATGAAGTATAATTTTTAAGTCAAAATGGATTCTGGACAACTATAATCTGTCTATCTACTCACTTACAAGGAAATATTTTGGTACTATACCCTTTGGACATTTGACTGAACATAGGGGAATTCAGATGTATGATAACATGGGAAACATTAGAACATGAGCAAAAACAATCATAACATTTCTGTACTTTATCGGTAAATTCATATGCATTTTTATGTACATTTCTCTTTATATTTTCCAACATTTTTAAAATCAGTTTTCCCAAATAATACTTTTTGACCTAGCATAAGCATTTTTCTAGATTGTTCCAAATGAATATTTTTGAATGCAAATTTTGAATGCATGCTGCAAAATGAAATTGTATAGTGTGAATTATTACTAGCTAGTTTCCATATAACTTCAATAATGCAAATTCCACTGAAATGTAAACTGAGTATTCCTTTCTTAATAATGTATCACAAGAGAGAAGGAAACTGACAAAATGTTTTCCCCTCCATCATTAAGTCTGAAACCCAGTGATAAATGCCTTTAATGTAATAGCATATAAGGCAGCATATATTAATACTAATTAAACAAGACAGATTTGACAATAATTCATTTTACATTCTACATTTATTTGAATTAAAATAACGTATTTCCAGCACAAAGTAGAATACATAGTGCTACCCCTTTCATCTCTTGTTTACATATTAATAGAATCAGTAGTGTGAACCAGTGAAATATTATTTGTTTCTGCCCTGTAACTTGCTCTAAAATTATTTGTTGTTAGATTGTGTATTATTGAATTACCCATTTCTAAATTCAGGTTTTATTTTTTGCATAACAAGCAAATTGCTCATTCTAACCATTTAATTACTTTTCTGATCTTTGCATTGGAATTAAACTAATAACCCAATCACCACATAGGCAAACTTTTTTTGTACAGCATCCTTTTTTAACCCCTTAACACACCTGTATTTTTGGTAGTTTCTGATAGATTGAAAACCACTGTGGAAGATGATGCAGGTGGAGTAGTAGCAACAGAAACAGTGGCAGGTTCTTTTCCTTCCAGTTCAGCCACAGGCAGGAGGGGATTCTGATTCAGATCCAGATGAGCAGGACTGGAAGGGATTCCATTTTCCAACAGGAATTCATCAAGATCCATATACTCCAGATGAAAAGACTCCCCATCATAAGGAATAGTTTTATCCCAAATGGGAGGCATGAGGGAGGCAGAAACTGCCATTGTAGTTGCAGCTGCTGCTTCATCTTCCTCAAGTTTTTCCTTCTTCTCTTTATCTAGAAGAAAACAGAATGATGCTATTAGTCTTGTGCAGAACTATATTTAACCATGAGTTTATTAGTCCTACAGATTGTAACACTTAGCTGACCATGGCTGATACCCTAAAAGCTAGTAGACTCTGTACTGCTGCCAAAACAATCTACATGGAGATTAGCCAATCTGAATTTGCTGAAGAAATTTGATCAATCACCTTTGAGTATATGAACCAATAACAGAAAATAAAGTTGAAGAAGTTTTCAACATTTTAAATGGCTCATTTAATATACAGTCCTTTCATACCCAAATAATATAATAATGCACTGAATATGTGATGAAATGTCCATTTGCATTTCTAAGTATTTTAAGTATTTAAATATTGTAAGTATTTTAAGACATATAAAAATACAAAGATGCATAAAAGACGCAAACCAATAGGTCAGTTTTGTTTCCTGAAAATTATCCCTCTGTGTTCAACTAATTGTATTCTTAGTTATGTAGATATAGGACTGGCTCAATAAAAAAATATTGCATATCCTAGTTAAACAGAATAATTTTGCTGCATTAATATATTATTGCAATTTTAGCACCAGAATTTAGTTTTTAATACTAGAGCAACGTAAAATGCAAAACAAACCATAGATGTTAAGAAATTAATTCAAAATAATATGAATTTCAAAAATGTAATCTTGTTTCAAATACATATACCAAATCAGAAATCTATATAAATAAAAATGTAAATGTTCGTTTGTTCAAAATCTTAAATCTCCGGAAGTTCTTCACCGATTGCTTTGAAATTTTGACACAACGTTGCATTCGAATACGTGCATGTTTTTATATACCTATATTATATAGATGTCACACTTGTGACAGGTAAAAACATGCTTTTTTTAAAAAAACAGCACCATCTGTTGAACGTAAAAGCAACACACGCTTTTACCAGACTGAGCCACAGCAACGCGTGGCTGGGTACAGCTAGTGACTAATAAAGCAAAACATTATATAGTCTTAAGTCCAGTTGCTTTGTATTCTTCAATCAATATGTAAAATCTTGAAGTTACATGGCTACTATGTTTTGAATATCAAGTGCACAATGCTGCTGTTTCTTTAGAAGGGGGGAGAGACAGAGGATATCAGAGCTACTTTCATGTAAATGAATATTTAAAACACAGATCTGATTATTCAAACTGAGGCACCAAGTGTTGAAAATTAAATCACCACTAAGGTTTGCTGCTGAATTTAGCTAATTTACTACTGAAGTTGAAACTCAAGTACTTTGGCCACCTAATGAGAAGGAAGGACTCACTGGAGAAGAGCCTAATGCTGGGAAAGATTGGGGGCAATAGAAGAAGGGGACGACAGAGAATGAGGTGGCTGGATGGAGTCACTGAAGCAGTAGGCGTGAGCTTAAATGGACTCCAGAAGATGGTAGAGGACAGGAAGGCCTGGAGGAACGTTGACAATGGGGACACGACTTCGCAACTAACAACAACTAACAACAACTACTTTCTTCTCTTATGCCACTGGTTAAAAAATGACTAATTCAAAGCATTTAAACCAGTGTTTCTCAACCTTGACAATTTTAAGGCATGTGGACTTCAACTCCCAGAATTCCACAGCCAGCAATGCTGGCTGTGGAATTCTGGGAGTTGAAGTCCACATGCCTTAAAATTGTCAAGGTTGAGAAACACTGATTTAAACAGAAAATATATAATGCAAAAGTCAGAAAAGCATTCATCCGACAGATAAGGTAAAGAGGTATATGACACTACACATCCAGAATCAAACAACAGAAGGAAATCCCCTCCCAAACTAAACACAGAACATTTTTTATCTAAATTATTTTAGATAGTTATGCCACATGCAATTATCAGCAATCCCTCCGTGTGGCTTATGATGAAGCACTGAAAACAAATGCATTCTTTCTCATTGGTACCAATAAAAAACAACCCTTTGCATTCTCGCTGAAGCTCCCCATTTGTGATTTCCCGAGTCCCTTTCTCAAGACCGGGAAGGGAAGAGCAGAGTGTGCACGTGTGCGCCTGTACTTTGCAATAGATCAGTGCAACAGACCGATCAGGAACCTGAAATCCAACCGCTTCCCCGAAGGCAAGAGTGCTCGGTGTGCTTCCACCACCCTTTTCGGGGCCGGCCGTCCCTGTACACGGTTATCCCAAGGAAGCCCCGCTGTGTTAAATGGAGATTACTTTCAAGAAACCACCCACAGACTCGCCGCCTTACGCGCTCAGAGCTTCAAAAACAGATATATACGCAAATAAGCGACGGGTCGGTGCTGCAGGTGCCGGGCGATGAACCGCTCCGCGGCAACCCCGAAAAGCAACCCCCATGGGGCGCCCGCCAGGACACACGGCAAAATGGATGCGACGTGCCCGTCCGAACTGAGCCATCAGCCGCCGCCGCCGCCGCCGCCGCCGCTGCAATTCCCCTTTGCTCTCCACCGCCTCCCTCCCGTCTACCGCGCATTTCCATCTGCAGAGGCCGAGTCTACCCCGAGACGCTCCTGCCACCCTCACCCAGGCGTGCGTCCCGCGGAGGGTTTTCCATCAGTTTCTTCAGCACCAAGGGAAAGGCACCCCTCGGGCCCCGTTCTTGCTGCACGGCTCCCGCGGTCCCCGCTGCCGCTGCTACCTCCTGAGGTGCGGCACGGCTGGACATGCTATTGATGTGCCGGAGCCGGCCGGCGGAGCTCGAGCCCCACTGGAGGCCCAGAGGGAAGAAAGACGCGAGAAACGACGCCAGCGGAGCGGACGCCGCGGAAAAGAAAAAAAAATAATAATAATTAAACCTATCGTTGCCCCTCAAAAGTTAACGAGAGCGCATGCGCCACTTCCCTCGGCGCGCCTCCGACGGCCCTGGGAGATACTTATTATTCGTGACCGCCTTTCAGTTGCTCGCGCTGTGATTGGCTCGCCCGGCCGAAAGACGGAACTGGCTCGATACCGCAGCCACTCCGCGACAAGCTGGAACGCAGGCCTGGCACGTGCCGCGGAGCGAGGAGCGTTTCGCGAGAATGCGGGCACCGCCCCTTCCCCTCTGCTGGCGTCAGTAGCCCCGCCGAGACTCCCATCGTTTAAAACACGACGAGCGCCTCCAGTGCTAAACCTTAAATGACCCCAGAGGGTGCGCCAACGATCGGAGAAACAGTGGCAAGGCGGAGCTTTTGAGCTGCAAGGAACTCTGGGGGCGGGGCGAAGTAGAAAAGGAGCAGAAGGCTTTCACACCTAAGCTGGCGTCGGGACGCTCAAAGGGCCTCCGCTTCAAACGAAAGCGAGGCGCGGAAAAGACCGGGGTGAAGGGGAGAGGAAGGCGGTGACTGAGTAGGGTACTCCAACCTGTGGCCCGCCAATTGAGTTCTACTACATTTCCTCATCTGGAATGGTCAAAAGCCGTGGCCGGCTGGCAATTACGGGAGCCCATTCAAAAATCTGGAGGAGCACAGGTTGAGGAAGCGTCCCGCTCGCAAATGTATGCCGTATATTCATTCAGGCAATAAACTGCTCAGGGCAGGGCAGTCAGTAGCCTGGCCATAGGTCCAGTGAAGATGCTGTCCCTTTGATGACATCAAAATAATGCTCTGGTGGCAGCCCAACTGACTTAGCAAATGGGCTGGGAGGGAAAACACAACCTTGTCCTTCAAACAGCAAAAATGTCTTGGTACACCCTTAAGGCTGAACCTTCAAAAAATAGTTAAAATAGTGAAATACAAAAGAAAAGGGTCCATATATGCAGTCACACCAGTTACCCTTTCATTGATTGCTCTTGTCTTCCCTATTGGCCATTTTGAAAATAATTTCCTTGGGAAGTCAATTTTGCTGATTGATAAAATGTTGCAGAAATATTAATTCACTGACATTTGATTCTTCAAAATGCTCTCTTAAATATTAAACATTACAGGTCACGTCAAGTAATTGATCTTAGGGAAAAAGCTAATCAGGATCAGATCTGGCTAGTCTTTGGAGAGCAAGTCACCAGAAAATTCTCATATGATAAACTAGACTGGGAACTTGAAAAAACATCCCAAAAGAAAATAATTACAAACTATTTCCACGTTATTGCCAAGTAAACTATGTGTGGACACTAGGAATTCAATTTGGCTTATGGAAATTTTTAACATTAAATGTTACAAGTGAGCATGACGTACTATTACTTTGGCACATGGGTTAGTTTGATTGGCATAAGTATTCATATCATTCTTCTCTTACCCTACTTCAATAATTCAACAGGTATTAGTAAAAGTTCTAAAGAAACAGAGGCAAAGACTAGTTTCCTAGAATACACTAGTCAAAGTCAGAACAAAATAGTCTATACAAATTCCTTTTGATCATTAATTCCAACACTAGTTGCTTCCATATTTTTGAAAAATTCAACTGGATATTGCATATTCAGTCCCACTGAAAATATTTTCTTGTCAGATAACAATAGTAACAACACCTCCAACAATAATAATTTATTAAACTTATCTAGAGCCTATGTAAGCAAAATGGAACTATCTCTGAGAAAGAAATTTGGAGCTCAGAATAATACAATTAGTTATAATAAGATTTTAACTAATAATATAATTAGTTATAATAAGACACTCTTAATATATTCTCAGCACAAAAAATGACGTGATAAGGCATATTTATAGCCTATATCCTCCAAGTTACTTTAACCAGATTACTTATTGTGAGGGGTTGAAGTGAGGAGTCCTTGGTGCTCTTTCAGTTTGGTTGTTTTCTTGCAGACATTTCATTACACTGATGCTATCTAATTTGGGTAATGAAATATCTGCATGAAAACAACCAAACTCAGAAAACACCAAGGACTCCTCATTTCAATCCTGAGCTACAAAAATTCTCCTCTATTGATACCATTTGTTGTGCTTGACAGAATGACCTGATTAACCTCAGTTTGAAAAATAAAGGAGACAGGACCAAAGAAGCAATTTTCTCCATTATTGCTCTGATCTACTGAAATAAAATGCCCCTCCCCTCCCCAAGATATCTAGTTGGCCTCAGTC